ATCAATTATAATTTATTGGCGGCATAGCTGTGATGTCGTTTCGCGGCAACATTGTGTGCCGTTGGATCGTATTGTATGTAAAATCCACGGGCGACGGATTGCAGGCTACGAAAGAAGACACAGTTTATCACTCAATTCATGTTTAATTTAAATCAAGTATGCATATCAGTCGTATAAAAATACTGCGGGTGAACGATCGTTCGCATTGCATAATTGCCATAATCGGTTGATCGGCGTTTCGCATAATTTAACAAATCGCATGTAGATTTTACGATCGGCGACGGATCGAAACGAATCGTATCATCGTTGGTTGAAGAAAGAGACAAAACGATATTCACTAATCTTCATCTTTATTGTTACTGTGTAAATATGTAGGCACTGAACAAATAATGTTTCATAATTTGTTTACAAACATTTACATTTACTGTTCTCCTTTTTTTTTTTTTTGTTCAATCAATTGAATATTCTCTGCGAGCAGCTTGGCCCACGTACGGGCCAAGTCCGCTTTTAATCCATCTGCTCGTCCTCCATTTCATTTTTATTCTTTAACATCCTTACGCGTAAATACCATTATCGTCTTTCAGCATTGTATGCGCTCGACCCAATTTCTAATTATGATCTCAATATTTTATATCAATATATATATAATATATATTTATATATATTTATATATATATTTTTATTTTGTTTATGTATACTTTAATCTCTATCCGCTAATATATTGTTCTTCTAGTCTAAAAATTACCACGATTATTAAAGATAATATATACTTCTGGGAAATTATAATTAAAAATAATAGTAAATATAATAATATGTCAAACATATATGTCTTGTGTCCGTGTGTATGAGTGTAAAAAAGGGGGAAGAGGGGGTGGGGAACGGGGCAGGGGGTGGGCGAGGTAATGGACAGAATTAAAAGGGGGCGGGGGATGGGATGAGAGACGCCGAGCAAAGGATATTGTATGAATTAGCGAAAATGGGACGTAGGTCGCGAACGAATTAAGAATAATAAACGAAAAAAGATCTAAACTTTGGCTAGTTAGAAACACGTGAGAACGCGACGCCGTTCCCATCGATCGATCGTCATCGCGTTCACCGATTGATTTTCGAAATGCGTGTGCACGTACACCGTACTAAAATTAAATCGTGTGATAGAAAATGAAGTGATTTTAGTTTAGTACAAAGTCTTTGAACAAAAAAATAAACAACGAAACAGGAGAAGACGAATGGGCCGTGGAACTGGAAGTTCTCGTGTACGAAAATGCGCGCGTGTACAGTACGATTTG